GTCTCCCGACCCAACATTGGAGTGATCACGATATCGAGCTGCTGCTGTCGGAAGCGTATGTGCTGAAGACGGTGTGGCAAGGGGCGGAGAACCATTTCAAGGATCTGCCGCCGGGAGGAGGGGGGGGCTTTGGCATGCTGGGGAGATGAGAAGGTCGTGCAGGCGGGGTTGTATATTGACAGATGAAGCAACATAATATTATGTTTGAGATGCATAGATGATTTGCGGTAAGATCACTCAACCAAGAACGTCAAACGCGGTGGTCTGTGCGCAAAAGGTGATGTCAGCCGGCCCGTGCGCTGCAGTATATAAGGCATGGCTCTTCTCTCGAATCCCCATCAAATTTCTATTCTGCATCTCTTTCATCTCACCAAGCTCAACATGCCCGTCAAACAAGCATTCGTGAGTACTCTTCCTGCATCTACTTCCTACCTTCCTCAGCAGCAACCGTACCGCGGGCGGGAGGAGACGACGTTGGGTGATTATCGACGCGTCTTCTTCCTCATCCTCAACCACATGATCATTACCTCTGCCAATATCTTGCTACAGGGCGGCATATGACCTTTGGTATCCACAGGCCGCCTCGCTCTCCCCCTCTGAGCCTGCTACCTTCTCGGCCCTTTTCTACATCGCCCGAGGGCTGGGACCACCTCTAGGGACCACCTCTACTGTCTTCCACGTCACAGGTGCATTCCGCCACCGGGGCTGAGCTCGGACCGCCGGCGCGCTCGCCTTCATCTTCGTTTCCATCGCAACCTCCGGTACCAAACTGACCATGCTCTCAGAGGCCTCCGAAACCCATACAGAAGAGCGCCAAGACCACTTCCGCCACCACCGCTGCTACATCCTCGACTACCAAAAGCACCGCGTGCGCAGCTACCAAAAGCAAGCAGAAGCAGCCCGCCAATGCCCAAAAGCAGCAGGTCGTCACCGCCGCTCCTCAAGAGGTCGTACAGGAGCATGCCCAGTCTCGGGAACAGGCTCAAAAGACAGCTACGAGTCAGCGGGTGGAGCAGTTGACCGCGCAGGATCAAGATGTCGTGACCCAAACCGAGAGCTTGGCCATCATGCGAGTCTCCCTGGAAGCTAGTCTCGGAGCCATCTGCTACTTGAGGCGAGTCGTTGCTCCCCATCTAATGTAACCTCAACTGACCTCACCTCTAGACGTCTCCTTCCCGACGAAAACTTTGTCGACACTTACATGGCTACTACGGCTCTTCCCGGCAAGACCCCCGAGCAGCAATACGGCCTTTCTCAGCCAGAGCCCAATTCCCAGTTGGGCTCCCAATCTCAGCAAAGCTCTCAACAGAGCCAAGGGAAAGGGTTCAAGTACCCTAAGATCAGCGACGGGTCGCCAGAGGGGAGAAGGTTATTGAGTTTGATTGTAAGTGTCGGCATCGTTATCTTGTTTGGGGCTGATGTTTGGTAGGATGACGGCGTCATGGATGCTATCTCAAGGGGCTATCTGCGTTCTTTCATGTTCATCCTCTTCCTCGACAAGGATGATCCCACCAAGTGAGGCTTCTAATAATGACAATGCCATAAGCTGACGCGAAAGCTAGTATCGTCGAGTCTTACACATTCAACTTTTTCTACTCTGGGGCTTCAAAAGTCCCTTCTCTCCGTATGACACACACCACCGGCAACTCATCCAACTATGTCAATGGAGATGTCGAAGTTGAAGCCGTCGGGAGTGTCAAGACGAGTCCTGAATTGGAGGCGCCAAAGACTCACCAGGATTGTAGGAAAGCTGTCAAGGTAAGTCCATATCTGAATGGGCAATGATTGACCAGTCTGCTAGGCTATGATGAAAACGCTCATCCTCAAGTGCCAAAAGCTTCCTGACCTTCCTCGCGAGTGTTGAGGACATACGAGAAGTAAATCTGACTCCATCCCCAGGCCAGAGATATGTCGACTTCAAGCTGTCGTATAATGAGAGCGCGCCCCCAGAGTAAGTTTCACCCTTCGAGTAGTACATTGCTGACGCTACAATAGTTACGAGGCCCCAGGGTTCAGAGATTGCTCTGGAACTCCTCTTCTTATGGCGACTTGCGACGTCGATGCAGCTCCGTCCAATATACAAATGGGAAACACTGCTACCGGGTCTCATGGGTAAGGTGCTTCGAGCTCGCGTTGATAGTCTAGGCTGACACAGGTACAGTATCTCGGTAACCGCTCAGTCCATCGCACAATACCTGCCTTCCAAGCTTGACTCTGATGAGCGTCACGGAACTTCCGATCCCGGCGACCTTGAGGAAGAACATGAGGAGCAAATGGCCGACGCTGGGAAGAGAAGGGTGGCATGGTGCGCCGATCTCGTGAGTCTGTTTGTCTTTTGACTTTGCACCATACTGACTGCCTTGTAGCCCATATACGATCGACAGATCTACGAACCCGACTCCATTGACCCTTACTCTCTCATCATTCCCGAACTCCAAGAGGCCAACTCTTCTGTCGAAAAGCTCAAGCAGCCCCTCGGCAAACTGGGAGAGGATGGGAGTCTCGAGCCGATGTTCAAGCCTGGTATGCGGCCGGATACCACGAGTGCAGCGGCGAAGAAGCGCGCACGTGAAATGGTTAGACAGAGTTACCATTAGTCTAAGGCTGACCACGATGCAGTTCGATGATGACCTGTTGGAGCTTTCCGGCGCTCAACGAGAAGCTCCGCCTGCTAGAAGCAAGAGCGTGGCTGAGTCGGTCTACGACCATGACGGTATGTCACCTCTGGCAAAAACATTGGACTGACGAATACTAGCCAACGGCGAGACCGATATCGGAGGAAGCCAGCCACGAGAGCCAACACGCACAGTCTCCGTCTTGCAGGATACTGACACTATCCCCGGATTGCGAGGACTCGTCCCCGAAACCGCCTCGGACCGACCTCTTCTTCAAAACAAGGATCCTAACGAGCGCCCTCGCAAATCTGCCAAGACTTCCGGAAAGTCGACCGCTGCCGGCATCGATGACTCTACCACGCCTGGGAAGCCTGCATCCAAGTCGAAGAAGAAGAAAGGTCCCAAGACTGCTGATACTGAGAATGCCGTCCCGGCTACCCCTGCATCTGGAACACCCTCTCGCAAGCCCAAGCCTACTGCTGCGAACAAGATGGCTTTGGCAGCTTCCTCCCCAGATAAACAAAGGCCCACAACCAAGAAGTCTGCAGCACCTCGCGTGGATACTCATATCGTGGAACTAGAGAGTAGGAAGCCGGTCACTTGCTTTTGTGGGTCGTTGGATGAAGATGATGGAAGCATTCAATGTGATGGATGTGGGCACTGGATTCATTTACCTTGTGTTGGGTGCGTCTTCCAGCCTCACGTTGAACACACTGACCAAGAAGAGCAGATTCTCCGTTCTCAAGGCTGCCGCTCAGACTCAGGATTGGTTCTGCATTCTCTGTCAAATGGAAAATGACGACAAACACACATGGGCCAAGAAGGATTTCAAGGAAGTGCGAGAAGGTATGGCGAGGCTGGCAATTCTCAGGTGAGTCGACTTGTGATGGTATTGAGGCACCCTAATCATTGGTAGGCGCTTGGTGCTTCGTATTCGAGGGGAAGGAGGTGTTGGCAACGGGACTGATCGGTATACAGAGGGTCTGAGTGAGTATCACATCCCATACACTGTGGACCAGGTACCGACTCCCGCTAGGCTGTACCAAGAAAGCTCTCAAGCGCGCACTTACCACGCTCTCTGAAGAAGGTGAGCATATGATATACTTTCTTTTGAAATTACTGACATTTCAGGTTTCATCGATGGTGTACATGGTAAGTGCTTCCGAGCCGGCTGGTGAATTGAGCTGACTGCATGGAAAGGCTCGAAACGGGGCAAGAATGCCTACTACAAATATCTACAGAGCCCCGAAACGTCCAGGCGACTGGCCGAATACTTTGATCCTGGAGCTGGAGTAGAAATCGAGCTTTTCCCCTTCCGCAAAGCTCAACACTCTGTAAGCTCTTTCCTTGACCAACTTTGCAGTTCAAGTTGACGCAATCTACAGAGAGACGAGACCGACGAGACTGACGAACCCGTCGAACCGCTCCCCAACTCTCAAGGTGTTCCCATGCCGGACCTGCCATCCACATACAGCCCCTTCGGAAGATTCAATCTCAACTCTTCTGGGACCTCATCCAACATTGTCAGGACTGCGTTTGGAAACAGTATCCCATGCTTGGATAAGTATCCTGTGAATCAGTGGATGTTGCCGATGATTAGGAGCAGTAGGACGGAAGAGCCTATCGAGCTGTCTGAGAACTGGTAGTAAGGGGGGAAGAACGGACGGAGCTGTGTTCGAAATGGTATAGGCGATGTGGGCTGTGGCAATCTAAATTGCTCGTTTCTCTATCCACTGAGTGTTGACCTTTTGTCAATTATGTAATCTGTAATCAACTTTATGGTTTATTGGGTGTACAGTGTGATGGGCTGATGCCAGCAGCCCCAATTTCAGTGCAGAACCAATACCAAGATTGCCCTCTTCAGCATTGCCCCGGCTCGACCCTAGTCCTCCTATACACCACCTTGATTGCAGCCGAAGACCATACGCACAACCAATTTGTCAAGAACGAGGGTCTGCTTCGGGCCCACTTGCATTTTTGTCAGATGCAGCTGCATAGCATACTAGGTCGTAGATTTCCAGATGGTCGAGTACAAGGTTAGTGGAAAGAAAAACCAACAAAAAGCAAAAAAAAAAACAGACCAAAAAACTATACATCGTAAGGGAATCGAACCCTTGCTACCAGCAGTTATCCTGCTAAGGCCACTTTTCGTGGGAAGCTGGAGTTCTACCATTAAACTAACGATGTAGTACGTCATGGACTCCAATGTTGGGTTTATATCTGTAAGATGAAAGTTTTCCTCGCTATATTGATGTTGTCGTTTCTGATCTCTGACGGTTATGAAGATATCGAGGGTGCCACTGCGCCATAGAAAGCAAGATCAAGTCCCGCCGTTTGGTATATATCGCGTCCCGGAGAGTTGCATAGAACGGGAAAAAAAAAACATACATCGTAAGGGAATCGAACCCTTGCTACCAGCAATTGTCCGGCAAAGGCCACACTTTACGTATGGGAAGCTGGAGTTCTACCATTAAACTAACGATGTTATGCGTCATATAAGCGAGGTGCGCTTAACAGTCCTTATAAGGAGCTTGGGCAAGCTCACGGTGCAGACTGCAGCGGTCTTGACTTTCTCGACGCCTTGTCAATCTTGAGCTCACTTTTGCAGCTATGCATGGTTATAGCTTAAATCGTTATCAACTTCGCTCACAATATATTCGATATCATAATATCGCCAATAGCTTCGTCGCCCACACCGCCATATCACCATGTGCGGTCTAACTTTGGCCATTCGCCCCTCCCAAACAGTTCAGCCCGACTCCCTTCGCACAGTTGATGCGCTATCTTCTACCATCAAATGCCGGGGACCCGACTGTCAAGGATCATACACCGACACTTTCTCCACATCAAACGGAGCAAAAGTGGAAGTGACTCTTCATGCGAGCGTGCTCGGTCTGCGCGGAGACCTCACATCGCAGCCGCGTAAAGGCAGACGGAGCGTGCTGGGATGGAATGGGCAGGTGTTCGAAGGCCTGAATGTGAAGGATGGGGAGAATGATACGCAGAAAATTTTTGAGCAGCTGGAGAACGGGGCGTCTTTTGACGAAATTCTGCAGAATGTAGAGGGGCCGTAAGTTAGGAGCGCCGATAGGACGTTGCTGTGTTGCTGACTGGCACAGATTTGCATGTATTTACATCGATGTCAGTAGACTTGATCGATATGACCCATACTAACCCATGAGCAGCTCGAGAAATCTATCATTCATTACCAGTTGGATCCGCTATCCCGCCGCTCTCTCCTCGCATATCCTGCGAATTCTTATGCCACAACTGACTTGTATGTCTTGTCATCGTGCTGCTGCGGAGAAGCTAGAGCTGGAGGTATGGAAATGAGAGCTCTTCTTGGTGGAGAAGGTGGTCGTATCGAGCTGGAAAAGATACGGACATGTGAAGACGAACAAGTGCGTCCGCCAGTTCATCATCTTGTTTCAGGACTTATGGTCACAGCTTGACTTTTCCCAAGCTCTCACGTTGAGAAGCAGCTTTGATCTCCCCGAAAGCTCCTCAACACCTTGGGTACGTAGCATATAGTATCGATCGCTGCTGACAATCAGACTCACGTCACTCCCATCAATCCCTCCCTCCCTTCCCCTCCCTCTCTCGACTTTGAGGCTTCACTCGAGACTTCAATTGACTCCTTCGTTGATCGTCTCCGCACAAGCGTCCGGCATCGAGTTGAGAATATCCCCGATCTACAACCTGATCAGTCCAAAGTGGCTGTACTCTTTTCCGGTGGAATTGACTGTACATTCTTGGCGTACTTGATACACCAGTAAGCTATAGACGGGTGATATGTACGAAGCTCACAGCCCTATCGATGTCTGCCGGCCGACAACTCAGTCGACTTGGTCAACGTTTCATTCGCACCAGCTCCTCAGGTCGATACCATAAAAGGTAAGAACAAAGCCCCTCTCCCGCCCGTGGACGTCTACAGGGTGCCGGATAGGATATCGGGGATGGAGGCATGGGAGGAGCTACGACAGGTCTGTCCCGGGAGAGACTGGAGATTTGTGGAGGTCAATGTGTCATATGATGTAAGTCACGCCTCCAACTTATAATCATGGCTGACGCATAGTAGGAGGCGAGAGAGCAGAGAGACAGGGTTGTGGACTTGATGTACCCGTCAATCACAGAGATGGACCTGGTGAGTTTGCTCATCGCTCCTCAATGCTCTACCCCTGAGCAAACAGTCTCTGGCGTACCCGCTGTATTTCGCCTCTCTCGGCAAGGGAAACCTGCGACATGTTGACGGAACGACAACGCCCTACCATGTGACCGCTAAGGTCTACATATCAGGGCTTGGTGCCGATGAGTGAGCTATTTCCTTCTGATGCAACTACCGCTTATAATGTACAGGCAACTTGGCGGCTACTCTCGACACCGGCACGCTTTCGACACCAACAGTTGGCAGGGTCTCATTGAAGAAGTAAGTCACACGTCAGCCTGACAAAATGTCAATCTCACAAACACAAAGACACAAATGGACATACATCGCCTGCCCACCCGTAATCTCTCCCGAGACGACCGCCTCATCTCCTCCCACGCCCGTGACGCTCGCTACCCATTCCTCTCGCTATCCTTCATCTCTCATCTGTCGTCCGTCCCCATACATATCAAATGCGATCCACGGCTACCCCCTGGAGAAGGGGACAAGAGGCTGTTACGGCTGGCGGCCAAGAAAGTAGGGTTGGAGAAGACGAGTGGGAGGGTAAAGCGGGCGATGCAGTTTGGGACGCGTAGTAGCAAGGTTGGAGGGAACGGGAGAGGGGTCAAGGGACCGAAGGCGGGCGAGAGGATAGTGAAATAGGTTGGGCATTCCTAATCATCACCTCATTACCTCATCATCATTGCATGTGACGTCGGGATGCAACGCCTTGACGCAGGGTTATGTATCCAGAGATGAGGATGTCACCTCACGGCTGAGCGCAGATGGACCTTTGATAGCATTCGAGCCACAAATTTTGTTCAATCCTATCCCGTACGATAGACCAATACTGCACGATGAGTAGTGTTGACCACTCCACCATTAGTATCAACCAACGATCAACATGCAGCAGGAGAGGTGGCGGGCATCACCGCATTACGAGAAATCAAAACATGAAACTCAAATCACGCGACGCGTCTCGACTTTCAACTGACTCTTTTTTTCTCAAATACAACTCTGATCAGGGTCATTGTCTACACCCTCGAATAAATCGAGGCGACGCCCAATTATGTCTCGGATCCTCGGCTTCGAGGCCCCTCCCCCCCGCTCATCCTCGTCCAATACGCGAACTCTGGGATCCAAAGACTCCGTATCCCCCTCCAAGGCAGTGAACGGCCTCTCCCTCAATGACGAAAATAGCATAGAGCACAATAGACATGATGACAATGAAGAAGAGGAGGAGGAGGAGGAAGAAGAGGAAGAAGAGATGAGCATGATAGTGGACTCTGACCTTGAGGAGACTCAGGACGAAGATGAGGAGGACGACGATCGCATCGTGGTACATGGTACGTCTCCTCAAACTTAACAAGCTGCGCTGACGCTGTGATGGCTTCAGTTGAAGTCCGGCAGAAACGACATTCACGCATCTTGCCGCAGCCCCTCATGGTCATTGTCCAGCAATTCATAGAGGAAGAGATCGCAAAGGTGCAGCTGGGGTGCGAGCTGCCGGGATGGCAAGAGGTTGACATACTGCGTGAACACGTAGATCGAGTATGGGTAGAGGAAGGAGGTGAGTGGTATGTTTGACAAGTACCAATCTCTGACGATAGGGTAGTGATGGGTGTTGGATCCGTTCAATCGGGCGAAGCTGAAATCCAGGTCCATGTCTACAAATCGTCTATGGATGACTTATTAGAGGAGTTCACAGCGGATCTGGATGATGGTGAGATATAACCTTTGGATTGTAGAGACTAGCTGACAATGCAGCAGATGACAACGAGGAAAAGGTATCGGCAGCTTCGGTTAGATCCCTGCCTTCGCAAGAGCTCGACGGTGTCTGGGATACGTGAGTCTTTTCCCCGCCCTCGATCTCAAAACTGACAGGATTTAGACTGGTATACTCGGACGACATCAAAGCCCGTCTGTTGAATTACATCTACTCCACGATCCTCTTCTCCGAATGCGAGATTGATTTTAACGTAATTGCGTGGAACAGGGTGATCCTACTGCATGGCCCGCCTGGAACGGGAAAGACGAGTTTGTGTAGGGCTCTGGCACAAAAAATCTCCATTCGGTTATCACAAAAGTAAGTTGTGAACAACCAAAACACAAGGGTCAGAGCTGAGGATTTGGAAGGTACAGGCATGGCAAGGTCATTGAGATCAACTCGCACTCCCTCTTCTCCAAATGGTTTTCCGAATCTGGCAAGCTAGTCCAGAAGCTGTTTGAGAAGGTTACGGATCTGGTGGAGGATGAGTCTTGTTTTGTGGTGGTCATGATTGGTAAAACAATTATCCAAAGTATCCAATGTGGCTGACGCGCCAGTAGACGAGGTTGAGTCTCTGACAGCTGCTCGAGCTGGGGCTATGCGAGGTAACGAGCCTTCTGATTCTCTACGTGTATGTTATCGCCTTGTTGTCACACAGCTCTCGCTGACCTGTACCAGGTTGTCAACGCCCTCCTCACGCAACTCGACAAACTCCGCACCCACAAGAACGTCCTCGTCATGACCACTTCCAACCTTATCGATGCCATCGACTCTGCCTTCTTATCCCGTGTCGACCTCTCTGAGCATGTTCCCCTGCCCCCGCCTCGAGCGGTATACTCTATACTGGCAGGTTGTCTGAAGGAGATGGGGAAGAAGGGGCTCGTCAGGGGGTGCAGGGTAATGGATTGGGCAGGGGCCGAGGAAGCCAGGAAAGAGAAGAAATTTGAAGGTGAAGAAAGCAATGGGGAAGACAAGAAGAGGAAGCAAGAAAAGGCTATAGGGGCAAACCTCGCCGAGCTCGCTATCCGGTGCCACGTAAGCCATCTCTTGCAGTGTATGTGTCACTACTGACGCTTCGTCACAGGCTATCGAACTCTCTGGGCGAACTCTTCGCAAACTCCCCGTCCTCGCCCATGCCCGATATCTCTCCTCCTCTTCCGGGGAACACCGCGCGCAAAGGATTGAAAGGTGGATCGACGCTATGAATAAGGTTGTGGATGTGGAAGCTGAGAAGAAGGAGGGGCCGGTGTCAGAATTCAGCGGGGTCGCTAATGGGACTGGTGGGAACCAGACCGAGAAGGGGCACGGGAGGATGACAAGCATGGAGAAGAAAGACGTGGGAGTCCTTGTAGGGACGAAGATGAGGGGTGAGCACGGACATCGACAAGAAAATGAGCATGCCTAAGCTTCGGACATTGCATTTGTTATGACTGCATGCTCATATAATCGCATCGTTGATCTTTCTGTACATATATGCATGGCATGACACCTTCTCATTACTCGTCGCGACCTGAAAGGCCTCTTTCGAGCCCTTATACTCACATATGTACCTGCTTGACTGTCTGCCGTCATA